ACACCATTTTAGTTTGAGGGGCGAAAATCATCCAATGGTTACTCGCGCCTTGGGTGAAGCGAGAGGGAGTGTCATACTCTTACTGACTAAACACCACTTTCTCTCTACTCTTGTTTTGAGCCGGAGCTCCGGAAACCACCATATATGACAACTACCATGTATGAGAATATACTGAACACCAAAGTGCAAAAATAAAATCAAATCTAATCATATTTATTTGTTCAAACACATGTGTACAAACAATAAACAATCGCATGTAAGATAGCGGGTAGCAGTGAAAAAAGTTCGAGACATGTTTGCCGTATACAATGGCGTGAAAAATTATTCCAGATATTAATAAGCATTTATTTTTCTTCAGTACCATCACAATTTATGATATGAATGAAATGAAAAGAGTTTTATTCGGCATACGGCATAAATGCAAGGAACAAAAAATAACAATAAAATACAATTTGATAAAATAACAATATAAAAGTTTAACACAAGAGAGTGAGAATAAAAAGATAAAAGCTAAATCATAAAACTAGAAGATAATAAAAATAGGTAAAACATAGGTTATGCGCGATATTGGCAGACATGCCCATTTATCCACATCCACGAACATTGATTAACCAAACACCATGTGCTTAGGGCAATTAATTAATTATTTTAGCTGCCTACGTCATGTTCTTACATCACGCAATGTTATAACTAAATAGAACCATGTTTTTATTCATTATGGCGGTTGCAATGTCCTTTATGCAAAGGTTTGTTATGTAGATTTTATAATTTATGGATAAGGACTATAAAATGTAGGTTAAGTTAGATGTAAAGGTTAGATTAAAACTACAAAACAAGCAGACTACGGAGTCGCGAAGGAGTTAACGGATTGCCGGAGCTCCGGCTCGAAGTACAGGTGTAGGAACGGGGTGATTTTTAGTCAGTAAGTCTTACACTCCCTCTCGCCTAACTCGGGTGGGAAAATTGATTGGATGATTTACGCCCTCAAAAAAAAAAACAAGCTGGCAGACGTACCCAAATTCAAGAGTAATTTATTTAGGAATTGTGGCAAAATATGTGTCAGTTAAACTACGCCATCCTAATCCGATGTTCTGAAAATTATATTCTTCAAGAAATGTCTGTATAAGTAGTCTTCGCAGGTATAAGATAAGTTTACCATCAAGAACATAATTGCTGAAATAAAATAAAACTAATCAAAATAATTAGTAAATTCTTGAACTCGACAGTGACTGTTACAAGCGACATCTAGTGGTGAATACTGGACACTGGATAGTGGTTAGTGGTGGTATATGTACATAGTAATATAATTAAATACTTACATTACCATAAATGAATTACCATAATACACGCAATGACGGTTCATATGGAAACTGACGCTGACGCGATAAGGTGCGGCGATGTGACACGACAAAAACTGTAAATTACTATGTGTCAGCCTTGTCAACCTTTTTCAAGTGTTTATTAACTTTTCCTATTCTGAAAAATCAATTAACCTCTCGCGCGCCTTTCGTACACACGGGTAAATATTTTAATAGAAAAGCGAATTAACTATTCTGTTCAATGGAATAAAGAACGGGTTGCAAACTTGAAAATGTACGTCACAGAAAAAATATCCAATCGGTGCGCGTTTCTCGTAGACCCGTGTGTACAATTGCGCGATGGGCACTCAACTCTCTCGTACACCCGTGTGTACGAGAAACACGCGAGAGGTTAAAATATATGTAGTAGTTAATAATTTCGTCAAAAAACTGGCGTGCCTGTATGACAAGGGGCATAAATGTGATGGAAGCTTAAAAGTATGTAAGTATCGTATTAAGTTGGGCTCAATGGCTTCTTCCTATGGGATAATAGCTCAAGTATTTGTATGTAGTAAGTAGTTAAGTAGTTTATGTTACAACGCAAGTAAGTTTCAAGTGTAGGAGAGCCATGCTTCGGCACGAATGAGCCGGCTCGACCGGAGTTATACCACGGCCTCACAGAAAACCGACGTGAAACAATGTTTGCGTTGTGTTTCGTCGTTTGACTGAGATTACCGGAGGCCTAATTAACCCTAAATTCCTAATCCCCAAAAATCCGGTAACGCACTTGTAACACCTCTGGTGCTCCAGGTATCCATGGGCGACGCCAATCGCTTACCATCAGATGGTTCGTCCGCTCGTTTACCGGCTTATCCCATAAAAATTAACTGTGTGTCAGCCTTTATAAAAATTAAAATTTTGAACACGGACGAAACGTTTTCACATTTGTATGTATATTAAATAGCCGACTGTTTGTAGCCAGACCTTTTTAGTTTTTATTAATTACAATGCGGGCGAGGGATAGACCGCGGAGCTGGTAAAAGTTTGCCGGCTGTGGTAGCCAGAGTTTTAAAACAGGCATTTCGTTTTAAGTCAGTCTGTTTATGGTTGCTGTGGTTAAAATACGAGGTCGGTTAGTTAAAAACTTTTACTGAAGTGTTAAACTTAGAGCTGGGTTAAAGTTAAGACTAGATTATTATCTACCAGATTCTTATGAACCTTAAGAAACGAGAAATTTGGAAAATATCGATTTTCCTGAATTCTGACCTATAATATAAATTATATTTTCTCTAGCTCCACTACTAATAGTCCTATTTAAACATATAAAAGCTATATGAAATCAAACAATAGTCCTCGACCTTGCAGTAACTCTTGTGGCAACTGGACCAAACTACATCCACCGTACAATAGGAAACAATTCACACATCACAGTAGGTTTTCCTTAACTCATTCATGAAACGTAAATAATCCATTACGAACTAACGCATGACCGTGAAACTACAAAGTACTTATGTACTACTTAAACAAACATCTGTGAATCGCATGTGATCAGTCACAAGAAAGAATTATTTAAATATAGAGATTTACACAACAAAAACTACATTATCATACAGCAGCAATTATCTAATTGCTTTTCATAATTGCTAATTGTCGTTCGTAATAACTGTAACAGTTCAGTGTCATAAGAAAACTGTTTTATCGACTGGGAAAGTCGTCTCAAGATGGCCGCTAAAGTTTCGCGCGCTTTTCTCTTCATGTCTGTCAACCCGGTTTTTCTGGACCTCATTCTATTAATGAGAAAGTGTTTTAATTCTTGTATTGTTTGGAAATTGACAATTGAGCACTTATGCTGTCCATCTGTCAGACAAAGTTGTGTGGTGTTTGAAAAATGACTAAGAGTTTTCTCATCAATTTACTAATGCCTTGTTGTAATCTTTTTTATGGTTTCTAATGTGATAATACTCGTCACTTTTCCGTATATTACGTGCCATTTTATTGTCAAATCATGGACTATTTTCCTTGGAAGTGTTTTCATTAGAATCACCATCGTTCCATGACTTAGGACCGCCATTAGTCTAATCGTCATCGTGCCCTTAATTACAAGAAAGAACTTCCATTAAGAAACATTTCCCACGAACCTACAAATATCCCTAATCTCCATCCTTGTTGTGACTATATGAACTCGTAAAATGCCACATACTGTTTTGGACATACTACTCAAATTCACATGGAATTTTCAAACTAACACTTCCGAATAATTTGGTGCAATCATTACCGTCGTTAAAAGCTAATTCGTCTGCATTATCCGCGCATCTTTTATCACTTTCTATTTTGTGTAAAAACATAGTTATATGTTCAGCGTTATAAGCGAGGGGACGGCCACCTTCTATTTTCGGTATCACATTTTCAGTTTCAGTCGGTCCTGCGTACGGCGCGCCGGTCGCCATTCCCGCGTTCGTTATATCAAACCGCGAATTTGTAAAATTGTAACCGTTTTTTCGCTGATAGGTCGGTTTTGGATCTATATTTAAAAAATGACGGTTGATGTCACACCGACTTCAGTTTCTGGAATCAATATTAAAGTGAGTTCCATTTTTAATCGAATGCTGCACATCCTTGCGGATTTAATTTTAAATTGTTAAACTTGGCTGTCTCTGTGTTATTCATAGGACTTTAGGACTTAACTTAGTCTCAACTAGAATTTGCTATGAATTTCCTTTTGTGTACTGTAAATTTTATTACGGCCATTTCGCTTAAAGACATTTCCTTTATTTTCTTTTCTCCTTTGTTTTGATCGCGACTAAATTTGGATCTACTGACGATTTTAAGATTCTTTTTGTATTTTGTCGCATTCAGTTTCTTTATTTGTTTTCTTGTTTTAACGAACCTTCGGTAAATATTCGGTACGAGACATTTCTTGTGAGAACCTTCGCGTGTATTAGTCATATTTGTCTAAGATAACACATGTAGGTCCAATTGTACTTAGTAACTGTTAGTATAAGTACTTAGAAGTCTTTGTTTAAATCCTTCCCATGACTTAAGGACCAAGGTTGTCTCTAAAAAATTCTACAATTTCAAACAAACATCTTTATGGATCGTCTGAAGAATTCATTTAGTGCTTTTGATTTTTATTATGGCATCGTTTTTATTGTTCTCCGTTCTAGCAATGTGCTACAGTTTTGTACTATGAAAGGGTTCTTAAAATAAAAGCGTCTTGCATACTTCCAGACTTTTCTAATCAGCAACTATTGTGCCATAGCCTTTGTATGCGGTCTGAGGATAGGGGATGAGCTGCCAACCTGTCACTCCACCCTTCACATCCAATACATATCAAAGATTTATAGCCCTAATTACAATTCCTGAAGGGTTCATTTCTCCTTGAATGAATAAATGCCATTCTGGTGATATTTCAACGTCATGCGTGAAGAGTTATGAAGTAATAAAGACGGGTCTATTGTTTGGAGTTGTCTAAATAATGTGTCTATTCAAAACAGTGGTTATAAATGGATTCATTTCATTGATATATTTATTGTCAACGAAATATTACATCAGCGTAAGGCTAATGCTAATTAGGGAACTATAGATTCATTCTTACTTTTTAGAAAACAAAATTATATCTGCAGTATACGCCAGTGCATATTGACTAAATATCCAGTCATATTTTTTCAATCCCCATTAATAATCCCTTTCTCTTCTTTCCAGAGCTCCCAGAATCGCCTGCTGATCAAAAATGGCCGCGTCGTCAATGATGACGGTATTGAAGATCTGGACGTCTACATTGAGGATGGCATCATCAAGTAAGTGGTTATCATCATCATAGAATTAGAAAGGAACGACGAATGAGGATAAAACCAGAAGAAGAAAACCAGAATTGATAGTTGTTTTACTATTTCTATCTACCTCAATGGTAGGCTAGTGTAATTTTCCGAAAATTAACTCTTAATACAAAGAAATATCAATATAGTCCTCCTTATATTAATGATGATATATATAACTCGCCTTGCCTTGCCTTCAGAAATCCGCCATTATTGCAAAAATACGTTCGAGCCCCACTTGGCTTCGTCAATTCATTCCATTGCCAACTAAAACTATTTCAATAAAATCATCATAATAACTTTGCAATGATAAACGATTTGTCAAACTCCCCTATTTTACTGGGGAATTAAATCTAACAGGGTCCCTATAGAGAATCTACATCCATTATTCTTTATAATCTTCTACAGAAATGCATAAACACGTTTGCTACATATAAAAGCAATAAAGGGCACTATAAAATTATTATCCCTTGCAGTAAAGGATATACTATCTTTCATCATCATACCAGAGCTTGTGACAGTCCACTGGTAGACTATGGGCTTCCTCTATTTCAGAGGGTTTGTCATAATCTCCTCGCTTAGCTGGTTGGTTGCAGATCGTATTTTGCCGTCTTTTAGACTGCATTTCCACCAAAGCTGCACGGTTGGTGCGGTGGCTGGGCAACCGGTTGCCGTGCAACGTGTCGCGGGTTCGATTCTCGCACGGAACAACACTTTGTGTGATCCACAAATTGTTGTTTCGGCTCTGGGTGTCATTGTGTATGTGAACTTGTATGTTTGTAAACGCAATGTATTTTTAAAAAAAAAGATATGCGAGGATGCGTACCGAGCGATGTGTTTGTGAAGAACCAATAGAATCGTCGACATATTTTATCGCAAATCTGGATAACGGAGTCTTAGTCGTTTGCCTCGAAGAACTTAATAGTCATTAGGAGTCTGACACGCCCAGCCGCAGGATACGATGGTTTACCCCCTTAAAAAAAGTCTTAGTCTTCTATCACCAGAAAGGTTTCTGTTTCAAATCCTGTCGCACTTATATTCTATGGCCGTCATATCCCAATCAATAATAATGGGTTTCCGGGGGGAAAGCAGACATAATCTAATTATATTTATGAGCTTAAACATGTTAGACAGTGACAGGGAGCAGGCCTAGCGTGCTCACGTCAATTAGTAACCTATTTCCAAAATTAGCTCCCTTGGTAGGTTCTGGTTTGAATTTCGATAATCCAAAATGTATATCCTAGACTAGATTGTGTGTTATGACTGAAATATCCGTCTATAACTTTTCTAGACTTTCTGAAAAGAGTTTTTCTGCCAGATTGGAGACTTATTCAGATATTAACCATTAATGAAATTGAACTATGACAAAGTAAAGACCACATGTTATTATAGAGATTCATGGTTGTATCGTGTAGATTATGGCTTCTTATAACTACAGTATTTATCCACATAACTTATTCTGTTTTTGTTAAAACAACACACTTAAGCTTAAAAAATCATCTCAGAAACATCCCACCACCAGGGATGATGACAAGGTATGAAAATTAAAAATCTAATTAGTCCGTAAGTTAGGTAATGAAAAAATATTAGACACGTATTTTTTATTTTGTTGTATAATAAAATAATAATTAGATAAAACAAATCAAAGTTTAGGAGTGGGGGCTAAAACGTCATTTCTACGTATAAAACGCGACCTTTCAAATCAATATATCGTCGAAAGTATTCGTTTCTGTAAGAAAATAAAAAATACGTGTCTAATGATTTAAAATAATCTACCAGACGGTCATTAAAATAAAAATTACGCATCTACTCTATTCTATTTTATTAAAACAACACACGTAAGCTTCACATACAATTCAGTACTATATAAAATTACTAGGATACCATCATAGTATGAACTCGATTCGCATTCCCGCAAGTCGGCGTAGTATTGATCCACAGGGGTGTCCCATCTTGTGCACTGCGGATGTATATGTGTGTGTGTGTGTACAGACTATACAGGATGGCGGCAATAACCGACAACAGGCTGTTGCTCCGTAAACAAGATGAGATTGAGACTGAATTGAATTTTCAGTTTAGTTAGGAAGGCACGAAGGCTGGAGTTGATTTCAAAATTATATCATATATAGTTAAAATGGGATTCGAAGGATTGTGATGTCAGTTTAACTAACGAAAGATTTTTCAATATGCCATTCTCAATAATAAATGTTTACACATAACATCACGCCTTTTATCCCCGAAGGGGTAGGCTGAGCACATTATGCCACTGTACAATGTAACACCCACTTTTCACTTTTTCTTTTATGAGTCCCATGTAATAGGGAGTGAGCTTATTGCCATATATCGGGCACAATTCAAGACTCCGTGCTACTACTGAGAATTTTTTTTAAAACCCAGTAATACTTTGCCCGACCCGAGAATCAAACCCAAGCCCGCGACCACTCGGCCAACTAGGCAGTGATAATAAATATTTACAGTAGGTAAAGATATAAATAGCCTACAGCAAGTCCGTCTATTTGAAAAATTCACACACATAGTCTGATACATAAAATAACTGAAGAAAAGAGAAGGCTACACCTCTGATCTTTCTCTCTTGAATTTACTGTTTTCCTTGGTCAGGAATTATTAATTAACTAGCTTTTAGCCGCGGCTTCGCTCGCGTCACAAAAGAATAAAAAGTAGCCTATGTGACATATACCAATACACACAGCGCCATCTATACCAATAATTTCGTTTTCCCTCGAGAATATCAAAGTACCCTATTATTTAATCCAGACTTCTAACTTCACATCTGCAAAAATTCAAAGCAATCGGTTTAGTAGTTACGGCGTGAAAGTGGAACAAACAAACAAACAAACAAACTCACTTTGCGATTTATAATATTAGTAAGGATTTTCCTTAACCCACTCCACCTATGCTACGTAAAAAGGATGTTATTGTGTTGCCTCTACGACTGGTATATGCGAAAGATACAGTTGCTGCCTTATCGTAACATGTCTTCGTAGGTAGAAGATAAAATTAGTATTTATGCAATTCACTGCACGGTTGGTGCGGTGGCTGGGCAAGGGCTGCCGCGCAACGTGTCGCGGGTTAGATTCCCGCACGGATCAACTCTTTGTGTGATCCACATATTGTTGTTCCGGGTCTGGGTGCCATGTGTAACAAGTCCACGACACAGGAGAAAATATTAGTAAGGGACAATGTTTTAAAAATATTCAGTTAACGTATAAAATGACCCATTTTAACTTTAACTTTACACATTAACAGCTTTTCCCTCTCACTAAACAAAATCGATTCATGTAACCCACTTCAGTTGAACATTGTTCTAAAAAAGGTTCCCTAATTGAATCCTAATGTTCTTCGGAATTGCGAATGTTGATTATAGAAATTAGACTGAAATCTAGAACAGAACAATTTGCAGATACCTAACCTAGGTAGTTTATTTTTTAGGTTAAACTACATAGTCTAAATACTATGGAGTTTAGGTTTATTTTCTACGTATTATTTTTCTCTTAACTTTTTTTTATGGCATAAGCCGGTAAACGAGCAGACGGATCACCTGATGGTAAGCAATCGGCGTCGCCCATTGAAACCTGGAACACCAGAGGCGTTACAAGTGCGTTACCGTCCTTTTGGAGATTAGGAGTTTGAGGATCGTTGGCGATTCAGGAATTGGGGAGATTGGGGAAAGGAAGGGTAATTGGGCCTCCGATAACCTCACTCACACGACGAAACACAACGCAAGCGTTGCTTCACGTCGGTTTTCTGTGAGGCCGTGGTATCACTCCGGTCGAGCCGGCCCATTCGTGCCGAAGCATGGCTCTCCCACACTTAATGTCTTAATGGTAGCAGAAAGCACTTTGATTTCGATTATATTTCGTAATTATAACCCTTATTAGTAGCACGGTTGTTCATGTGGACTGCTTCGTGATGGAGCGGGTCGTAATTGCGACTGCTAAGCAAGGGGTCTCAGGTGAAATTCTTTAATAGCGTTTTTAATATTTTATGGACAGTTTCAAGCCATGCTAGAGACTCATATTCATGAGCAGCATTCCGCTTGCCTGTAGTATGGCTTGAAACTAGTCGAGTTCCACGTCAAACAGTTACGTGAGTAAGCCGAAAACATTATAATTAATTTTGTATGTGAGACATACACATATTGTGTACAAACATTTTGTGGACATTTTTAGACACAAAGTCGCGAAATATGACTAGTGTCTGGCAATAAGCTGACCTCCTATTACATGTTACCATAAAAAAAGAATATTTTTTTTATCTTTTTAACCGGCAACCGGTTAAGTCCTCCGGGGCTCCGTATCAGCATCAGCCCTACTTATTGGGCCCCATCCGTGGTGGTCTGATGGCTCTTTGAGGCGCGCACGGAAACGCGACCTGCCGTAGGCTCGGGTCTGGTGCTGGTCGGGTGGCGAGCCACCCATGCTCGCCGTCCGCAGGCCCGCGCTTACGGTGGCCGGAGATCGTCCCGCGATCCCCGACGCCCGGAGTGTCCTTCGCGACGACTGGGTTGTGAGGAGGCAGCGCTTCGCTGCGTCATGCGCCCCGCCTCCTCCTTAGCTAGCATGACTGCTTTGCAAAAGGAGGAGACGGCATCCCAGTCTCCGTCGCTCCGCATCATGACCCGCAGTAGGGCCTAATGCGAGTGGTCGCCGTCGCCGATCACATCTCTGACGAAACGGCGGTTCTCAGTCCACGCAGAGCATTCCCCAACTGTGTGTTCCACCGTTTCCTCAGGTCGGTCTCGCAGTAATGACACCCTGGCGTATCCTCCCATCCTATCAGATACAGGTACCTCTCGAAGATCCCATGACCAGTGAGGACGTCGTAGCGTCTCTCAAGCCGCTCCTCAAAGAGCGGACTTATCGCTGCAATGGCAGCGCGTCCAAACAGAAGAATAATGGAATGTTACGTTGTATTATTATGACATGTTACATTAAAATATCATTCACAATTTCCAATCCAAA